GTTGTTCCAGTTTGCACTGGAAAGGAGTAGGGGGAGGCACTGGTATGGCAGCAAAGAAATGGGCAAGAAATAGTATTTCACAGAAAGAGAGCCCCAAATTGCTCATAAACTTATGAAAATTCTGTTTTGTAAACAATCAAGGAAATGGAAATGTGTTACATTTACCACATTGATAAAAGCAGAAAAAAAAAATCTTGCAAATGACTAAGGTCATAGGAAGCACAGTTCTTATGCACTGATCGTTGGATAAGTGGATAAAATTACTTTTGATAAAATTTGGCTACATTTAATAAATTTAAAATAGTATTCCCTGTGACTGAGTAATGTCACTTTTAGGGATGCAACATAGTAATCTCCTCTAAAGGTATATGCTAGGATATATGTTATAAAATAGTCACAGAAGGTCTACTTATAACAGCAAAACAAAAATCTAAACACAAATGTAATGCTCATTATAAAGAGAATAAATTATGAAATTCCAACACATGGAATGGCAGACTGCATTATCATAGCTGATCATTTTACTTTGAAAGACTGAATCTGAAATGGCTTATGCTAGCTTGCAGGTATCTCAGGGAAATGTACACAGTGTGATTAGATTTATAGAACATTCCAAAAGAGGCAAAATCACAAAGCATGTTTCTTTTTTAAAGAATTAAGTGGTTATATAGGAAAACTCTAAATAGTAATGTAGTTAACACCATTAACAAATTCGGGGCTAAACAAGACAGTGTCGTGGGGGGTCCACCTAGAGAGTGTGGAGGGTTCAGTTCTGTTTCTTCATTCTATTCAGCACACATATTTTTTTTTCTATAAAGCTATCAAGAAAATATTGCATAATAAAGATGGGGCAGAGGAGAAAAGCCATGAAATTACACTGGGCTGGCCCAGGGGTCAGAGAAGAAACAGAAAAACTATTGTCATAGAATCAAAGTAGAGAACGGTCAACACTGGCAACTGTTGCTAAGCAGTGTGGGATGGAAAATGAGATGGAGATGATGGAATTGAAACCAAAGAGGTTATTGGAGGTTTTGATGAGTGTGATTTCAGGAACAGAGCAGGGATGCAGGCCAGGAAATGATGCCCAGGGCCCAGTAAAAAGCAAGGAATATCAAGAGCTCTTTAAGCAGCATATGCATAAAAAAGAGATAGATGACAATTTGAGCAAAAGGCAAATTCAAAGGCTACTTAGAAATATTTTATTAGAAAATTTAATCCCGACTAGACCATATATAAAGGTATTAAAACATTTAAGTAGAAATTATAAGACAAAATCAGACAAAATCGGAAGATGGCAGAACAGTAAGCAGCAGAATAAATAACCTCTCTGAGAGATGCTGGAATATAACGTTTTGGAGAAGACAAGAAGGAAAGAAGTGGGTCTCCTCAACCCAGAAAGAAACTAAAGTGAGAACTGAAGCCCACTGAGAGAATAAAAAAAAAAAAAAAAAAAAAAAAACCTTAAACGGAAGAAGGTTGTAGCTAGCAGCACTTTACCCAGAGCTGGAACCACCATGCCAGAAGCGCTGTTGGAACCCAGAGACACATGGGCACAGTGAAGCTGGTGGTAGCAAGCCTGAAGGCCTTGGTGGGAGATGTAGTGGCAGAGGGGAGCAGCAGACCAGAGAACTGCACTAGCTGGTGGTGGGTGTGTGGGACTCAGGTCTCCCGCAGGAGTGGGAGACTTGCTAGGCGCCATTTTGGAGTTGGGCAGGATATGCCTGGAGACAGAACTGTAGCCAGCTTCATCCAGCCACTCCTAGCTTGGAGCAGACTGGCAGAAAGTGCTTGGACTGAGTCCCACCCCTCTGCACGGTCCAATAGCCACTGCCAAGGTTTCCCTAAAGCTATCCCTAACCAACCCCACCCGCCTGGTGCACACTAATATGAAGACTCCCTGTGGTTAACCAGCTTAGAGGGGAGAAGCCAGCCTACCCTGCCCTTGCTTACACTCCAGTAGCCACCAACAGACTGGGGAAAGCAATAAACAGTAGAAATATCTAGCCAACACACTTCAGAATAATTATAACCAATACAGGAGGTGCCAGGGACCCTCCTACCCACTTGTCTGGAAGAAACCAAGAACATGACAAGAGAAAGAAGCAAAAGGCCTCCAACCCAAGCAGTACTGGTCCAGGAGATGCAAACACAGAAGACATCAGGAGTTGCACACTTGCAGTTTTTGAAGCAACAGCCACTGAAATAAGAAACAACTCCATGAAGCTATAAAAGAACTTAGAACAGAAATAGTATTATAGGTAAAAGAAGATATGAGAGACATAAAAAAAAAGAATTGCTAAGCACTTCTAAAGAAGACACAGATGAAAGAATAGAGGAGCATAGAAAAAGGAGGGAAACCTTCAATGAAGAATATAAAAATATTTAGAACACATGAAACACAGTGAAAGAGATTACTAGGAAATTAAAAACTCCATTGAAAGCTGGCAAAACTGCTTGAAAGAAACTAAGGATAGACTATCAAACCTTGAAGACAGGTTTGCAACTTTTGATTATGAAAGGAATGATCTCTTAAAAATAACAAGAAACCAGGAAGTAACAAAGGCTAGAAGATGACTAGAGGATCTATAACTTAAGAATAAAAAATGTAAGTGAAGAAGCATGGGTAAACACAAATGAAATACAAAGGCTATTCACAGAAATAATTAAAGAGAACTTTCCAAACATAGGAAAAGGAAATGATATTCAGATATATAAGGCATACAGAACTCCAGCCAGCTATAACCAAAATAGATCTACACCCAGACATATAGTAATCAAGATTCCAGAAATTCAACACAAGAACAGAATATTAAAAGCTGTCAGAGAAAAGAAACATCACCTATAAAGGTAAACCCATCAGAATCATGGCAGACTTGTCAACACAAACCATCACATCAAGAAGAGCTTGGAGTGAAGTATTACAAGTCCTGAAAGACAATAACCTCCAACCCACATTGATGTAGCCTGAAAAACTATCCCTCAAAATTAATGGAGAAGCAAGATACTTCGATGACAAAGAGGAACTGGTGGAGTTCATGACCACCAAACCAACCCTACAAAAAATAATAAAGGACATTCTAGAGAAAGAGAAAAAGAAGACTGTGGTTTCAGGAACAGTGGCAGAGGGGATCACTGAATGGGATAAAGTAGACAACCAATGGCAGGAAAATAACATGGCAGAGATGAGGCAGAGAAGGTTGGCTATAATCACTAAATATGGATATCCTAACTATGGATAAAAAGAAACACAGGCAGAGTGGATCAGGAGACAGGGTCTATCAATAAGCTGTATATAAGAAATACAATTAACCTGAAAGAGGGTTTATAGAAGGAAAGTCAAAGATGAGAAAACAGTGCTCTGTGTGATAGGGAATGAGATAAAAGTGGGGGTAGTTTGCCCATCAGCTGCAGATCGGTTAGAAATCCATGACATTTTTATACAATGGGAAACTACTCAGCTATACAGAAAGAAAACCTTGAGGCTCTTGTAGGTAAATGGATACAACTTGAGATCATGCTCAGGAGTGAAAAGGTTGCAAATCACTTATATGAGTAGTGGGCTGCCTCCCTAATGTAAAAACTAAAGGAGTTAGTGGGATGCAAAATGTACCATGCACCCTGTGAAAGTGAAAGGGGAGGAACTGTCTAAAAAAGGAAGGCAGTGGCCATTGTTAATCTTTTATCATTATTTGAAACCCATATTGTTTTCATCATTTTGTTTAGTTTGGTTTTATTCAGTTCCAATTTGTCTACTTGTATTCGATTTGATGACATGGACAGCTATTCTAAAGATAGCAGAATATACTATAGTAACCATTTTTTATTTCCTATTGACTTGATTTGAAGCCCCATATTGCTTTCACTGTCTTGTTTTGACTGATTTTATTCTACTCTGTTTTGTCTGATAGTATCAAGTGTGAGGGTGTAGGCAACTACTTTGAAGACAGTAAGATTCACCATGACACCCATTCTGGTTTGACTGTTATCTTCTTTTGAAGTCCTGTAATGTCTCCAATGTTTCATTTTTATTGGTTTTGTTTTGTACTTTTTTGTTCAACTTTATTATACCTGAAGATATGGGCAATTCTTCTGAAGAGCAAGAGGCATTATGGTAACCATTGTAGATCACCTTGTATTTTGTTTTTATGTCATGTACTATGTCCATCCTTTTGTTTTGACTGACTCTATTTTGTTTTGGCACATTTGGTTTTATTCTCTTCAAAAGAAAAAAGAGAAATCAATATTATATCAAGAAAAGATCTTGAGAATCTTCCAATTAAGTCTTTTACTGAAAAAAGGTGTGATAGTTCAAATGACTATTTCATCTAGCTTCTAAAATTCTCCAAGAGGATGTTATCTCAATTTCTGATCTCTCTAATAGCCTTTATACTCTGCTTAATTATATTTTCAATGTTCTTGCTCATTTTTAATAAACATAAAGCACACCTATTTGAATCATAACATGAAAACATGTTAGAGTTTGCTCTGAAAATAATCACGAGTGAAGGTGCCAACTTATTCTTTCCCTTTCTGTATCAGACAATTTTTGCCCTCACAGTTTTATGTAGACAAAATTTAATGATTCACTGAAATCATTAAATGTATAGATACTCTTTCCTGACCGTGTATGTGAATATTCTACTGAGAAAAGAATGTGAATTTTAAAATCACAAAACATGCCACACACGTGGACATTCCCATTAAAGAGGTGATGGCTGGTATGGCTGATTTTGGGCCAGCAACAAGGGACTTGTCTCTAACTTTAACAATGACATCAGTCTCGGTAGAGTGACAAGGAAGTGGGTGACTGCCATTTACTTTAATAATGAGTCAAATTGTCAAGCTGTAACAACATGCTCAGTAAGTTCTTTCATTACTGTGCTACCAAAGGAGAGTTGGAAAATGTATTACAGTGCTATTTTTTGTCTCAGAGATGTGTATTTTTGCTCTGTTTCTATAGTAACATTGATGCAATGGCTAAAACTTTAACTCCTTTTTAGACTCCCCGATGGCTTCACGCAGCTTCTAAACTTGACCCAGCTCTACCTGAATGACGCCTTTCTTGAATTCCTTCCAGCCAATTTTGGAAGGTAAGCAAAAGAAATGTAAGTTATGCAAGTTTATTCACCTTCAGTAAGCGCTGTGCCAGAGATGAGGCTTCACAAGTGACAGTGTGATTAAGGATGGGCCACGTTATTATACAACAGATGAGACTCTGTAAATGCAGAAATGAATCTGACTTCTGCAAAAATGAAGTAAAGTTAAGTTTTCACTTAAGATCAGTAAACAAATAAGTTCTAGATAAATTCGAGGGTTAAATGTCAAAAAAATAAGTAAAGCTACAACATGACCTGGAAGAAATTCAGTCAAATATTTATGTCCCTTAAATTGTGAAATGCCTTTATAAGCATAAAAGCAAAAAAAGAAAATTATAAATCAACAACACTTGGACACTCTTAAAATAAGAAAATTAAACATTTAAGGTAAAACCATAAATGAAGAAAACATTTTTATTCTATATGAGAAATAAATTGTAGACTTAATATATAAAGAATTCTTCTAAATGAATATGAAGACAAATATCTTGAAGAAAATGGGTAAATAATATGAAAATCGTAGTAAGCAATTTAGAGTAAGACACAGAATGGCCAGTGAATACATGAAAACTATCTTCAAAAAGCATAAGTGTGATATGAATTAATATGACAGTGAGAAACTTTGGGTTCTGGTCCATTGTGGAACTGTTTCACAGTTCTGCTAATTGGATGACAGAGTCATCCCCTTTATGCAGAGAACCATGGGTCTAAAACTGTGAAAAAACTGACAGGCATCACCTTTGTGACTGATTTCTGGAGTATCTCACACTATCATCAAATATCGCATAGGATTTATACACAAGTGTATTTCTTATCACTGACAAAATGAAAAATGGAATTGTATCTGTTTAGGAAGTTGATGATGTAGATGATTCATCCACATGACAACATATATGGCAGTTAATCATTTTGTATTAGGAAAATATTTTTAATTCCTATGATGAGTTTAATCTAGGAATATATACTACAAAATGTATGAACTATGTTTCCAATATGAATATTCATGAGATGAAGGAGTGGTTACTCTGGAATGAAATTATGGATAACTTTCATTTTATTCATATTTTTCAATATTTTCTAGCTGCTCTGCTTGGCAATTTTATTTTCTATATAAGATGTATCTTAAACCTAAGACATTTTAATCTTTCATTGCCACCTACATTTTTCTAAATGATCATCTTCGAAATTATTCAAATAATAAATGGGGCATAATTCAGACCCTGTTTGCAGAAGCTCGTACGTGACCTGAGATGGGGGAGCTCACTCAGTGTGTGACAGCCTCTGGTTACACACTGAAAGGACACTCATTCCTCAGCTGCTCTTAGTTTGTGAATCATGATATCACAGCATCTCTTAACACCATTTACCCAGACCATTTGTAAAACTCACAGATTTTCAGAAGAGCATTTTCCTGGCTTCTAAATGAATTGAAAGTTCACTATCTACTGTCCAGCACTGTCCTTCTGGTACAGATCAACACCGTGATATACTGCTGAGTTATCGGATTATTAAATATTTAATTATCATCCTACTTTGGACTTTTTTGACTTGGATTTTTGTGAATTCCTTTCATTCACAGATCTCCAACCTTTTGACTTGTCTGAGTGGCCCTAAGTGAAGAGGAATATATTGGACTACATATAAAATATATAATATAATATAATACAATATAATATATACAGGCAACAAAACTTCCTCTCTTATAATTTAACTTACAAAATTATTTTTGTGAAATAACACAAGCTCGAGTTTAAATAGTTAAAGAGCCTTACATGTATGCTCAGAAACAATAAACACCTGGTTTCACAGGCACACACATGTAGGGGGACGGAAATATGATCCGTGGTAGTTGTGCATTTTACTCACTACCTCACACAAGAGTGTGTCACGCATGATTGGCACAGGCTTTGAATTGTCTGTGTGTGGCCAGGGAGACAGAGCTGGTGCCTGGACATACACAGGTCATGGCCCAGCCCTGCTCAATGGGGTCATGAAAAATGTCACCAAGGTCATACAACACTGCAAACATTTATGACCTGTGGAGCTGCATTACTCACTGTCCAGAACCACATGTGGCCCACACTGCACAACTTAGGTGCACCTGCCTTAAGTAATCCTAACATGAAAACAAGATGTGAGCAAACAGGAAACATAAACCCACCCCAAAGTACTTGGAGTAAGAACTTGCAATCTGCGTAAACTGACTTCCAAAATGTCCTCTTTTTCATCATTAAAAAGGGATTTTTAACCTTCACTTGAGTAGTGTAACAAAATGCTTAATAACCCTGCTATAACCTGGGATTCTGTACTGCCAAAATCTAGTATGAATCTCAGAATATCATCATGCTAGGTGAGAAGATTTGAGACCTATGTTTAAGAAATGTCTTTGACTAACAATATATCCGTCCACTAAAGAACTGATTATTTCATGTGTATATTGAGTTATAAAATTAAAATTAAATTAGAAACTGAATAGGAAGCAGAAAAATGGATATGAAAAGAGACCTAGATTAATACTAAAAGCATCGTAAATACCCACGATTATAGGTGAAATCCCTGAATAGCAAATTTTGCTGAAATTTTAAGAATACAGAGAACCTAGTTAATGTCTGCTCTGTGGTGGCTTCATCTGAGCCCTGTGTAGACATGAATAACAGAAGCATGTCCCAGGTGACAAATTTCAACCACCAGTTCTGAGGCGCCCTCATAATGACAAATGTCCCCCACACGACAGGAACTCTGAGCACCTCTCATCCTTTCTGAGTGGCTTTTCTTCAACTCTAACATTGTCATGCACAGGGTTTCCAAAACCCTTTCAGAAATGTTAAAAGGTACACCTGAGCAACAATGAAGCGGATCCCAATGTGGAGTTAAAGAAAGCAGCTAGTGACTTGAGAACAGAGGGTACGCTCAGAACGCCTTTGCAATCCCTATGAATTTGGTACTTTTATCACCACGTATAGATAGGGAAACTGAAGTTAGAAGGGATCATTTAATTTGCAAAGTGCCACAGACAGAACATGAAAGCCTGAATTTTCACACAGCTCTGTCCTGCCAGAAAGCCTGAGTTATTTACCTCTGTGCTTTCTTGTTTACTTTTCAAGTGCAGTTCTAGTTCTGAGAGGAAAATAATGCTATTGTCTTAGTGAACACAACACCTGCTATTTACCAGATTTGATAACCTGTTGAGTGAACAAAATTAAATCTAACAGAGAGTGCATTGTTATGAAACATTGGAAATTTAGAAGGTCTGGGATCTTAAGATGTCACTGACTTGTCTTTATTTTTACAAAAATAATTCGCCATTTCCCAAAGTTGCTGTAACTCTACCACCAGTGTGCATATTTCTTTAAAATTTGTAACCACAGAAAACAATATTGACCAGAGTTATTTAGATTATAACAATTCACTTTACTGAATGAACATTTTATACAGGAACAAAATTAATTTTTAAAAACTCTTTCCATAGACTTGTCAAATTGCGGATCTTGGAGTTAAGAGAAAATCATTTGAAAACTCTACCAAAGTAAGTGATTGTGTATTTTCTAAACTTTGAATTGTGACTTTTTGGTAGGAGGCAAAAATAGCTACTTTTTTTTTTGGCTGTTTTGCCATTTTGACTGATTTATTCTAATTTCTTCCTAAAGGTCAAAAAAGTAAGCTATTTGGGACTCATATTAAATAAGAATGTATCCGGTCTCAAAAAACTATAATAACAAGTAAAAATAAGAAGAGGCTGTTGAAGACTTTTCTTGTAGCTAAAGATATATGCCAAGAAATTATTCCACTAAAACTTACAAATTTGTCATTTTTACAGCTGAAAACTAACAATTTTACAAAGTTCAACCTACAAAGATGCTTAATTCTGAAAGTTAATTTATGGATTGTGATGTTTTTCAGCTTTTAAATCAAGAATATGCCAAAAAAATTTTAGAAAAAAAGATTAAAAATTTTCAAGAGATTCTGAAGTCATTTAGTGGGGGAAAATGTTGTATTTATAACAGTCTTACAAACTGTTCTCTTGTACTAGTCTATTTAAAATTTGGTTCATATAAATACCCAGGGTATTTGAAAGTAACAAGTAATCTACAAATTGTTACGCATTAATTTAATTAATGCTTTGTCTCATCCTACTTTCCTTTATGAATGTCTAACAATAGAATTTTGTGTAGTTCAGAGATAATTGTTGTTGAATGTCAAAAATTATTTATAGTGGTTTCTTACTCAAATAAATCAACATGACTTATATTAAATAAATCAACATGACTTATATATGTTCTATGTTGCTATTCCTTAAGTATTACAGAAAAATATTATGCATAGCAATTAGTTTCTCAGTATTTCAGCAAGGCACATTTTCTGCTGAACCAAATCTTCACATTTTGTATTTTTTTAAAATCCTTTCTGTAAGCAAATGAGACCGAATGGCATTGTTTTCGAAATGCATATGTCAGTGAGATAACTTCAGCTCTGGTTTAGGAAAGGTATGACATAAAAATGGAGGGATTGCAGTATAATGACATCATTATGACCACAACTTTCAACAATGCTATGAAATCCACTAAAACACTCAACACACAGAGCCTCAGTTAGCGGCAGTGCAGAAGAGCGCTCAGAAAGGAGACAGATGTTGCACATCCCAGCACCCTGCACCCTGAGTAAGCCCTCCTCTTAGCTGAAGTAATATATCTAGTCCTAGCTGGAGACACTTCGGGTTTAGAGGCATCCACAGTCCTGGGAACACAGTTGACAGTCCTGCCTGTCCCAATATTCGTCCCCTGCAAATGCAGTCAGTGCCCCTGTTCCCAGCTCAGATGCTTTCATGCCTCGCATTGTGAAGTGACAGTCTGGCTGGGAGGCAGCTAAACGAGGGTGGGCGGCAGTTCTTCCGTTTATCTAAATGTATGTGTTTATGTCAAGGAAAAAAATATTGAGTGTGTGGAAGACAATCGCACGACTCCAAAATATTGGCTTGGAGTTTAATATAAGATAAGCCTGACCTAGATTGCAGGATTTTTCATACGTATCTTAAAAACAGAATATTAGTAGGAGGTAAACCTGATGTAGACTGGTGATGTGGACTTTATAAGAAATAGCTGTGTGTACAAGAGAGTAGTGAGTCAGAATTGTTGTCCGTGATACAAGGGTATTCTGTAGACTTTGAGACTGGGGTCCATCATTCAATAAAATTAAGTAGAATAATACGCATGAACTATATTTAGAGTAGAAACATTGTAAAAATCTTTTAGAAGGGACACTGGGTCTCTTTGGTGGACTATTATGCATGTAAATCTTGTGTAGCAGTTACAACTTTTCCATTTTAAGAAACGTTTTCAGAGTTATTTGGAATCTGATGTGTTCACTTTATACCTTATCAACAAAAATCAAAAGAACCAAATACAGACAAAATGTATGAGGGCTTTATTTTAGTTTCGGTGTCTGAGGAGGGAGAGTTACTGAAAGAAGTCCAGTTGGAATAAAGATAAATTTCACTGTATGTTCTTCATTTTGATCACCAATGTAGACCTGTATCTTAGAAATATAGGAGCACTTTCTACTTCCCTTTAGCTTCTGTTCTACCAAAAATAAAGGTAAAGATGTAATTTTAGGAGAACCAATTTTAGTTTTATAATAACTACACCAAGAAGCGATAACTTGTGATTTCCTTGGGGATATAAACAAGAAACTGAATCTTTGGTGGGTCTTGAGTGACTTTTGAATCTTTTCGTCCTTTGTCTTTTAATCTATGTGCCTGGAAATCTGCAGAATGTAAAAGTGTGTAAGAATTATGACATAACATACATGCAAGTATATTTCCATTGATGAACTCACAGAGATATTTCAATGCGTGCTGATTCCAGGATTAAGTTTTTCAGTTCCAAATAGGAGTTACAGTGATACATTTTTTTTACAGCAATCCATCATAGAGTTTTTCCCATAGTGAAAATAATTTGCCCTTAATTATGATTTTAGAAGAGCAGTCAGCAAATGTGAGGATAGTAAGGGTGAATCAAATGCATGCTGCGGGTCGAGGCGCAAACCCAGGTTGCATTCATCTGTGTGTGTCTGTCTGATTGTGAATTCCTTCCTTCACTTGCTTCTGTAAAGGTGTCTGAGGCTCAGGAATCTAAAAGAGCCTAGATTCTGGATGGCTGAGTCACGGCAGGTCTCCGGTGACTGGACTGACCTCACAGAAAGGCTTAAGCAAGGTCAAGAATGGTATACGCTTCTAATCCCAGTCCTGGAGAGGCTGAGGCAGAGGGATAGCCATGAGTTTGAGGCCAGCCTAGGTTCCATAGTGGGTTCAATGCCAGTCTAAATTACATAGAAGACCTTGTGTCAAATAAAAAATTGCTACTCATCTCATGCACATGGTTTTGTTAAGTGACTCTCAATGGCTACAGGTAAGAGTAGTAAGATACTTTGGTTCTGTGATCCATGAGCTTCTCTGGAGGGCTACAATTCAGCAGCTTGCTTACTCCAAAATAGGAGAGAGATAAAGAGAAACAGAGAGACAGAGACAGAGACAGAGAGACACTCTGATCTCAGAAGTAACATGCCATCATACCATGATTTCTGTCACATGTTATTGGTTACAGAGATCAAGTCTGTAGAAAGCAGAGGACAGAAATGTGAATAGCAGGAGGGGGGGTCCTGTGAGCCATTGTGGAGGTCCCTAGCGCAGGATGTCTGGTGCTCAACATGGTGGGTCTAGAAATTCACTTGGCCATACAGTAGTACCTCGGTTCACAAACTTAATTCTTTCCATGATTCTGGTTTCAAACCAAACTGGAAGAGCTCCGAATCAAATTCAGCGGTATACCAGATGTATCTGATGCAGAAGGCAGACTCACAAATCAGTCATGAGAAAGCTTAATCTTGACACAGCACTGCTGTTTTTTGGGACTCTTCAGTTATCCTGGTGTCACCCTAAGTAAAACAACTATGTTTCATTCTGGATCCTGTGTACCATGCTCCTCTTCTAGAATTCTCTGATCACAAATTTGGAACTTTTGAACTATATGTGGTAGATATGATCATAAAGAGTATATCCTTTATATTATTTCATTCCTTACACATCCTTACTGACTCAGTAAAAACAGATTCATAGACTATGGTTTTCCCTCTGTGTGAATTCCTAGGGACTTCTGTACTATGCATGTAGATACAGCAGGTGTCAGGGTGTTTTGTTCTAACTAGACATCCTCTAAACAAAACAAAAAAAAACTATGAATTATAAATGTTAATTGAGAGCAGATCTACATTGAAATACTGTTAGTAAAAGATATAAGATCATGAAAGTCAAAAAAAGACTAATGGTCTAGCCTCAACTGAAGAAGACTAAAGAGACTTTGTAACTAAAAGCAATGTGATTCTGAACTGGTTCTTTTGTTGTACAAGTCATTATTGGGACAAATGTCAAAATCTCAATGGGATCTGAAGGTTAGACGGTGTAGTGTATCACTGTTAACCTGCTGATTTGGGTGGTTGTATTTTGGGTAGTAGGAGAAAGTCTTTATAGAAATGCACATGATAATGTTTGAGAATCATAGGGAACCATATTGGCAGTTTACAAATTGTGACCCTAACTTCTGATATGCCAGTTTCCCTGGCTTATGAAATATCCAGCAGGTTAGTATAGCACCCTTTTGGGTGTGTCCGGGTGGATTATGGAGCCAAGCTTGGCTACCGTGTCCTCTCAGTGCTGTTCTCCTGCTATGCTACTGTCCACCATGAACTAAGCAGCTTCGCTCAACAGTGATGTCCCTGCCTTGGAGCCAGCTAATTACAGAATAAGTCCCCTTAATTAACAGCTAAACTGAACTTTTCCTCCTATAAGCTGTGAGCACTGGATACAACTTTCCTGTAACAGGAAAGCTGGCTAATCCACTCTAGTTCTATAAATAATAACTTTTATCGTATCTTGTAATTTTCTATAACTTTCTGAGTTTTCAACATAGAACTCATTTTGTGTTTTATTTTTTACTATTGTCCTTTGATTTATTTTTATATTACCTATTCTATTAAATTTTTAAGTATACAGTACAGCACAGGTACACTGCAGCAGGTTTCTAAAGCCTACTCATTTTGCAAAACTGACAGTTTATACTATTGAGCAGAAACTCCCCCAAATCCTTCTCCTTCTAGTCTACCATGTTCTCTAAGAGTCTAACTGTCTTAGACACCTTGTATGAGTGCAAGCCTACAGTATTCGTCCTTCTGTGACTTTTTTTTAATCTCATTTAGCGCATTCATCTATGTCGTCACAGGTGGAATAATTTCCTTCTTTTTTCAGGCTAATGGTTCATAGTGTGAGCATGCCATGTTTGCATTCTCCATTCATCTATCATAGGATATTTAGGTGGTTTCTGCAGCTTCACTGTTTAGAATAATAATATGATGAGCACAGAAGTGCAAGTACTGCTTTCAGAGCACTGCTTCACTTCTTTAGGATATGTACTCAGAAGGGATTGCTGAATTATAGAGCAAGTTTGTGTTTATTTTTGAGAAAACTTTTCACTATTT